GGGCCTCATGCATGCAAGGCAAGCACTCTACCACTGAGCCACCTTCCCCACCCTGAAGTGCTTTTATTGATAGAAATTGTTCAACTGTGCTGGTGCTGGTAGCTCATACTTGGAATCCTAGCTACTCAAGAGGCTGAGACATGAGGATCCTGGTTCAAAGCCAGACTGGACAGAAAAGTCCATGAGGCTTTGAACTTCAATGGCCAGCAAAAAGGTGGAACAACTTGTGGCTCAAGTGGTAGAGGGCCAGCATTGAGCAAAAAAGCTAAGGGACAGTGAGTGCCCAAGTCCTGCATTCAAGTCCTAGCAAAAGTACTAAATGAATGAATAGTTCAACCATAGTTGGAATAAATATTAACAAAACAGCTATAATGTTTTTAGCTTCTGCTACACAATGCATTTTATTTGGTACTGGGTATACATTGGTTATGCTGCTAAGACATAGGAACTTTTGGCTCATTGGCAGTACTTTGGTTTGAACTCTTGCTAGGTAGGTACTGTGCCATTTGAGCCACATACCCAGCCCATTTTTGATTTAGTTATTTTTCAGGTAAGGTTTTGTTTTGCCAGGACTGGCACTGGACTTCTGTTCTCTTACCTATGGCCTCCTGTCCTCCTACACAGGTAGGATTACAGATATGTACCACCACACCTGGCTTATAGATTGAGATAGGGGTTTGAATACTTTCTGTCAATGCTAGACAGGAAGTTGATTGTCCCAATCTCCCTCCCACATACCTACGTATATAGGCATCCACCACAGCCACACCCAAAGAGGTAGCACAGTCAATAATTTCATTTTACACTTGAGGAAACTGGGATATAATCATGTGAAATAATTTGCTGAATTCTTCTCCAGCTAGTAGAACTGACTCCAGTAAAGAACTTCTTGGCTCTTGGTGGATTGAGTGGTAGTTTCCCCATTCTCATTGCTCTTACCTTACCCTCTCCCAACATAGTTGGGCAGGGTGGCACAGGAAGACTGCTTGAAACAGGTCTAAGGAACTGCAGCTGGTCAAGGCCAAGCTTGTGGAACTACTGCACAATTCCACATACTTCTTTCTTGGCTGAATTCAGCTTTCCTGAAGTTGGCTAAATTGGCCCCAGGAAACTGGGCTGGGAGCAGAATGTGCAAGGCTCAGGCTGCAGCTGTTTCCTCCTCCCTGGAAGGGTCTCTGGGGGCAGGTTTGTGGTTGTTCTCCTGCCAGTATATTGAGTGAAGGGGAGAAGAAGCTTTTCTCTAGTGAGCTGGAACAGCCCCACCATTCTCTACAACCATCTCCTCCTTGTCAGATTGCAGCAGCTGTGGCAGCAGGTCTCCCTATCCAGGGCCACAAAGCAGGTTTGGGAGGGTTCCCTTACCCAACAGTCGACTTGAAACTTAGCCAGCTACACTGAGAAATCTTAGGTTTGAGGGCCTTTGCTTTTGGCAGGACCACTTTCTTTTTTCCCCCTTTCCCCTTTCCCCTCTCCCTGCCTCTCCCTTCTCCTCTCTCCTCCCTCTCTTCCTCCCTCCCCTTCCCCCCACCTCTGCCTCTCTCTCATGCTAGCACTGGGGCTTGAACTTGTTATTCCTTAGTATTTTTGCTCAAGGCTAGTGCTCTACAACTTGAGTCACACCTTCACTTCTGGCATTTTGCTGGTTAATTGGGGATAAGAGTCACATAGACGTCCTTGCCTGAGCCAGCTTCCATCCATAATCCTCAGATCTCAGCCTCTTGAATAGCTAGGACTATAGGTATGAGCCACTGGTGCCTGTCAGGACTAATTTCCTGGCAGGACCCCTGAGGAAAGTCAGCCCCTGCCTAGAGGACCTGCAGTGTCTATTTCTTACCATGCTGTTTGCTTTTCGTCTCTCCTCTTCCTAGTGAATTCTTGTGGTCCTAAATGAAGGCAGGCCCAAAGTCTTGTGGGCTAGATTTAAGGTCCTATGTCAAGGCTCATTGAGGAAAGATAGTTTGGGGACCTAATAAGGTAACAAGGAGTTAACAATGTGTGGAGTATAGGTGGCTAGGGCCAGGTTATAGTACTTCCAGCTAAGAAAATCTTGTTACCCTCCTTCCCAGTATTCTGGGGGACACAAGTAAGATACCATGAGTTTCTCTGGGAAGGACAAGGCAGGAGAAACATAACAGCAAAAAGATCACCACCCTGGGCCTCATTTGCAGAGGGCCTGAACTTTGGAGGGGGGAGAGAATCGCAATCTCAGGATATAACTCAGCCTCATTCATCCACCCCAACCACACATACAGAGGGATTTAAAAAGCATTAGCAGAGGCTTGGCACTGGTGTTTTATGCTTATAGTCCTAGCTACTCAGGGGCTGAGAGTTGAGGATCGTTCAGATCCAACTTGAGCAGGAGAATCCATGAGCCATTTGCCTCCAATTAATCACCAAAAAGCTGGAAGTGGAGCTATGGCTCAAGTGGTAGAGCACCAGCCTTGAGCAAAAAAAGCTAAGGGATAGTACCAAGGCCTTGAGTTCAAGCCCCAGTGAGCAGTTTCTTGTATGAGTTGCCTTGCATTCATGGTCTCCCACTTCCTAAGAACACAGATTCTGATGTGGAAGGGAATAATAATAACAAGGATGCCAGTGTTTGTCTTTTACACCACAAGTACCTGAGGCTCAGTGGGCTACCTTGGCCTAGTAGGGCCCCCTGGCACACAGATGGCTAGCATGGTTTGGATTCTGGCCTTGTGGCACTTGGCTCCTTCTATAATACTGTAGCTGCCTTTGACAGTGTAGAGAGTGCTCAAAGGCTGGCCTCTATCCACAAGGAACATTGGAGCTAAAGGCAAGAGATTGCCTAAACAGACTGTTCTCCAGTTAGGGCATCAGTTCTGAAAGCAGAGCCCTCTTTGTGATTTAACTTCTCTAAGCCTTCTGTTTCTAAGAACTCTAACCTCAAAGCCAGCAGGACAAGTTGGCTTTTGATTCACAAGAATGTCTGGGCCCATTAAGTTTTTCACTTGGCCCTTGGGTCTTCCTTAAGGTTCAGCTACACTTACTAGTCACCTGCTCCTTCTAGATCATTGCAATTTCCATCTCCCTACCCATGACAAAGCCGTCCCTAATACCTCCTTCTCTTTCTGTGTACTTCTTCCTTCTCTTCCTCTTCTTCCTTCTCTCCCTCCTCTTCTTCTTCCTCCTCCTCTTCAAAGCAGATCTACTGAGCCCAGAAAATATCTTTCTGCTTTTTAAATTTATGCATGGATATGTTAACACGATTTTCAAAATGATACCACACTACCCAGCTGAAGAAAAGTTGTGTGCTTTTTTTCCTATGTAGTTGCTAGATCTAAAAGATAAACATATACATAAATATTGAGTGGACCATATATATGTTTGTAGTTGTGGGGCTGTTTGAAGGGATTAGAGAGAGGGAGAGGAAAAGTGAATATATTAACAAATAATACAATGTATTGTATCTGTGAATGAAGATAGCAAAATAAAACTCATTCAAAGCTGGTGAATAGGTGGAGAGGATGGGTATAGAAAGAGGAAGCAAGGGAACTCAATCGGACTAAAATGCATGTGTGAAACATGATGAAATCCCTTTAAACAATTAGCATACACTAAGAAAATGAATGGCAGGAATGTAAAATAGATCCTATCATCATTGGAAACACTAGTGAGAAGAGAGAGGGTGAAGGACAGTAAATAGGGTCAAAATACTTCATGTACCTGTGAAGATGGAACAATAAAACTAGTTGATACTGGTTTGGGAAGGAGGAAGGGGGCCAGAGAGTGACAGAAGGGGTTTGTCTAATCACGATACATTGAATGTGTTTATGTCAAAATGAAGCTGCCTTATACAACTAATTGATGCTAATTAAGAATGTGAAAAGAACCAGGTACACCAGTGGCTCATGCCTATAATCCTAGCTACTCAGGAGGCTGAGATCTGGAGGATTGTGGCTCAAGGACAGCTCAGGCAGAAAAAGTCTATGAAATTCTGGCTCCAAAATAACCCACAAAAAGCTGGGCTGCAGACATGGCTTAAATGGTAGAATGCCACCTGAGCAAGCAAGTTGAGTGAGCATGAGTCCCTGAGTTCAAACCTAAGTACTGCAAAAAAAAGTAAATTTTAAAAAATAACAAGGACTATTTTTTTAAATGTCCTGCATCATGTTGTGCCTTCAAACTGTTACATGAAGGACTCTTCCTGTTAAGTTTAGGAGCTCCCTTTTAAAAGCAAGGGCTGGGGAGTCTCCCTTTTTGGCTTGCCTTATAGCACTGAGCTGAGTGCCTACCACATACCTTCATTCAGGAGAGGTTTGTTTCCTGAATTCCCCAAAGAATAGTCTCTCAAACAACTCTACTACTACCACCCCCATCTCCAACACCATAATGATAGCTCTGTCGGTAATTTCAGGTACTGGTACTGTGGAAAGTAGGGGATTCAAATAGATGATAGGGCCATATTCCTACTAGACCATGGGACACCGACTGCATGATGGCCAGATACATTGCAGAAAAAACTTTGTATTCTAAGCAAATCACAATGTGGATCTCTGCAGTGAGGCAAACAGATGAGCTTTCCTCTTGTCTTTTCTGCATATGTAGACATCACCTTGCTCCAATTTTAATATTCAGTTCTGCAGTGGTTCTCTTGGATGAAGCTTGATCACACAAAGTGTCAAGCCAAAAGCAAGATACCAGGCATAAAATTACTATTACTATTTGGGAGAGAAGACCTAGGTCTTCAAGAGGTTTTGTCTATTGAGTTCAGAGTCTAGAGTGTAGCTCCCAGCCTCCCCTCACCCACCAGGCTTGGGCCACAGTCTTCACTGCAGGTAAATGTGTGAGTCTTGTTGCCCTGGTTGGTGTGCTGGCCAGTTGTTCCTGGTCTCCATCAGTCTCTCACTCTCCTCCCTTGCCCTCTCTCATCTGTTTCCCTCTTTCCTTCTTGATTTCTTCTTTCTTCCTCACTCTCATTCTAGCTCTCTTTCTCATGTTATTTCACTCCTAGCAACTGTTCTGCCTCCCTTTCTACCCTAGATCCCCCTGAATGCTGCTGGTCACCGTGGTGAGGAATTTTCCAGGAAGATCATTGATTTAGCTGTCAACTGGATACAGGTACTGGAATCCTCCAGTGGATGAGGAAGAGTATCAGGGTGGGTTGTGATTAATTCTTTTTATTCCATCTATGTGGGGACTTGGCTATTTGGAGGATCAGGAGCCTAAACCAGAAGGGTGTGGCTTGCACCAGGTTTACATATTTAAATAGTTATTGGGAACCAACCTCCCAGGCCAGAAGCATGAATCATGGAAGGTCATGCCTTTGAGTTCTTTTCCTACACTGGCAGCTAGATGAGGGCCAGAATAATGAGAGGAAGAGACTAGAAGGGAAAGTTTACCCTTTGGCTCAAAAGGAGAATATGGGGATCCATTTGCAGATGGTAGCATTAAAATCTCCTTCTAGTAGTACCATTAATAGAGTTTGATGTAGGTCTACTCCACTCCTCTTTGAGGAGAAGGTATTGGTAGACCTTTCAGATGGAGGATAGTGAAGTCCAGAGGATTTTTCTGAGACCACTATGTCATCTTAGCATTGTAGCCCTGGTCTCCAAGTCTGTGAAGTTATTCCTCTAGGGTTCTGAAGATCTAAACCTGGTCCTGCCTGGCAATTTAGGGGCCAGAGGTGTCACTGTAAGTCACCTTCCCTTCCCAGGCCTTCTCTTCCCTCTCTCCCCTTGTTTCACTTCCCCTCGCCTCCCCTCTCACCTCCCCTCTCTTTCTCTCCCTTCTTCTTTCCTCCCCTGTCTTTTTCTCTCTTCCCCCTCCTTTCCCCTTCCCTTCATTTTCCTTCCCTTCTTTTCCCTTCTCAAGGCCTTCCCTTACCTTCACTCTTTCCCCTTCTCTTCCCTCCCCTCTCCTTCCCTCTCTTCCTTCCCTTCCCCTCCTCTCTCTTCTTCCCTCCCTCTCTCCTCCCCTCTCCTCCTCTCCCTTAACCTTTCCTTCCCTCCTTCTCTCCTCCCCTCTCCTCCTCTCCCTTCACCTCTCCTTCCCTCCCATCCCTTTTTCTGACAGTACTGGGGTTTTAACTTAGGGCCTAGCCCTCTTGGTTGACTTTTTTACTTAAAGCTGTGACTTTACCATTTGAGCCACAACTCCACTTCTAGAATTTTGCTTGTTGTTTGGAGATAAGAGTGTTTTGGAGTTATCTACCCAGGCTGGTTTCAAACCACAATCCTTAAATCGGAGTCTCCTGAGTAGCTAGGATTATAAGGGTGAGAGCCACCAGCCCTTAGCAAATCTTTTCTTTCTAGTCTTAGGCAAAATATTAATGAGAGTCCATGCTAAGGTAAAATTGGATGCTATCTAATTGAATAAGTACATTGAGGACTCAACTAGACATTTTGGACTCAGGGTTTGGGTACTGGCCCTTAGGTTTTATACTAAAGGCTGGAGCACTTCCATTTGAGCCACAGCTGTACTTCTGACTTTTTGGCAATCTTCAGGTCTCAGCCTCCTGAGTAGCTAGGATTACAAGTGTAAGCCACCAGTGCCCTGCTAACCTCCCTCCTACTCTGCCTGTCTCCTCCCTTTGATTATTGATGAGCCCTTTCACAGGCCACTGGGCCTTTTTGCACATCTGCAGTTCTCTCTGTCCGTGTTCTCCTGAGCTTATAGCTCGAAGGGAGTGGACTAATGAGAGGGTGGCTGGTGACAGCTGCCTATTTGTGGCTCAGTGTAGAATTTCACTGCCCTGGGGCTCAGGGGGCTGGCCTAGCAAACCAAGCATATGGGATAAATTAAGGTTTTTCCCGATATTTTCCCTTACTTTCTCTCTGGTTCCATTCAAGCCTGAGACCACAGACACCTGTCAAAACAAACTCATGCTGAGTACTTGCTCACTAGTATCTGTCTCTTTATCTCTCTTATCTCCTCCAGACCCCACTGTGATACTTCCTGACTGATGATGTTATAGAAGCACCTGGAATTCTGAGGCTGCCTTCTCAGCTGAGTGTACCTGAGTAGTCTTTGTCACCATGGAGACCCGAAAGGATGAAGCTGTTCATGCCAGGGGAGCAGCAGCCTCTGGGGATACTCAGGACCAGGGGTCAGAGAAAGGAGCCAAGAACAAAGCAGCTGAGGAAACAGAAGGGCCAGCATCAGACCCACCATCTGGCCCAGGTAGGCTGAAGAAAACTGCCATGAAACTCTTTGGTGGCAAAAAGGGAATCTGTACTCTGCCTAGTTTCTTTGGAGGAGGACGAAACAAAGGTTCTGGGAAAGGCAGCTCCAAGAAGGGTGTAAACAAGAGCAAGACACATGATGGCCTGAGTGAAGCAGCCCATGGCCCTGATGATGCTGCTGGTGAAGGAAATGGCTTCTCCCAACCTCTGCCTGAATCACCTGGCCGATTTCCTAGTTCTCAGAGTGCCCATGGGGCTTTGGAGATAGGCTCTAGACATAAAACATCTGTGGATGGAGTTGTGGAGAAAGCTGGAGCTGAAAAGATACTCTCTGTGCCCAAGCCAAAGAAAGGTCTAAAAGGCTTTTTTAGCAGTATCCGTCGTCACCGGAAGAGCAAGGTGGCTGGGGCTGAGCAGAGTCAGCCAGGAGCCAAGGGATGTGAAGATGCCAGAGCTGGGTCTCATGAGCATGTCAGCTCAGCCCCTCTAGCTTGCTCTGAAGAGACCTTCCAAGGCCCTAGGATGGACAATACCAAACCTCAAGATGCCTCTGGACCAAAAATTTCACCAACACCAGAACCCTCTCTACCAGTTCCAGCTACTGAGGAGATGGACTGTAAAAATCCAGAAAAACTCAAGGGGACTTGTCCTTTAGCACTTGTGCAGCCCCAGCCTGCTTCTGAAGTCAGTGTCCTAGAGGAAGAGCCCCACGCTCCAGAAACAGGGGAGAAGGTGGTCGTTGGAGAAGAAAATCCACCTCATGGCCCTGTGGGGGGTCAGCTAAGCCTTCTGTTCGGAGATGTCACATCCCTGAAAAGCTTTGACTCACTAACAGGTTGTGGTGACATTATAGCAGAACAGGACATGGACAGTATGACAGACAGCATGGCCTCTGGAGGCCAGAGGGCCAATCGAGATGGGACCAAACGAAGTTCCTGCCTGGTGACTTACCAAGGAGGTGGAGAGGAGATGGCCTTACCAGATGATGATGATGAGGAAGAAGAAGAGGAGGAGGAAGTTGAATTAGAGGAGGAAGAAGGCAAGGAAGAGGCAGAAGATGATGACTTCGAATATCTATGGGCAAGTGCCCAGATGTACCCAAGGCCCAATCTGAACCTGGGTTACCATCCAACCACATCCCCAGGCCACCATGGCTACATGCTCCTTGACCCAGTTCCAGCTTATCCTGGTTTAGCTTCTGGGGAACTTTTAACTCCTCAGAGTGACCAGCAAGAATCTGCCCCCAATAGTGATGAAGGATATTATGACTCTACCACACCTGGATTTGAAGATGATTCAGGGGAGGCCTTGGGGCTTGTCCGCAGGGATTGTCTACCCCGAGACAGCTATAGTGGAGATGCCCTTTATGAGTTCTATGAGCCAGATGATAGTCTTGAGAACTCACCACCAGGAGATGACTGCCTTTATGACCTCCATGGTCGAAGCTCTGAGATATTCGATCCTTTCTTAAACTTTGAGCCCTTCTCTTCCTCCCGGCCACCTGGGGCCATGGAGACAGAAGAAGAACGACTAGTGACCATCCAGAAACAGTTATTGTATTGGGAGCTCCGGCGGGAGCAGCTGGAGGCTCGAGAGGCACGGGCTCGAGAAGCTCATGCCAGGGAGGCATATACCCAAGAGGCCCATGCCAGGGATGCTTATGCCCGGGAGGCCCACACTCGGGAAGCTCATGCCAGAGAGGTTCGATCCCGAGAAGCCCAGGCCCGAGAGATTCATGCTCAAGAAGGTAAAGTACGAGAAGGCCCGGCCTGGCAGGAGAAACCTGTCTTGGAGTATCAGATGAGGCCCTTAGGCCCATCAGTGATGGGCCTGGTTGCAGGGGCATCAGGAGCATCTCAGACCTCCCACCGGGGAACCACTTCAGCTTTCCCTGCCACATCTAGCAGTGAGCCAGACTGGCGAGATTTTCGTCCTCTGGAGAAACGTTTTGAGGGAATATGCTCCAAGAAAGACCAAAGTACCTGCCTGATGCAGCTCTTCCAAAGTGATGCCATGTTTGAGCCAGACATGCAAGAAGCAAATTTTGGAGGATCTCCCAGGAAGGCCTACCCTACTTACTCACCCCCTGAGGAGCCAGAAGAAGAAGAGGATGAGAAAGAAGGAAATGCCACTGTCAGTTTCTCGCAGGCCTTAGTAGAGTTTACCAGCAATGGAAACCTGTTCTCCAGCATGTCCTGCAGCTCTGATTCGGACTCATCCTTCACCCAAAACCTCCCTGAGTTGCCCCCAATGGTGACCTTTGACATTGCTGATGTGGAACGGGATGGAGAAGGCAAATGTGAAGAAAATCCTGAATTCCACAATGATGAAGAACTTGCAGCCTCCTTGGAAGCTTTTGAGCTGGGCTACTACCACAAACATGCCTTCAACAACTACCACAGCCGATTCTACCAAGGCCTGCCCTGGGGTGTGAGTAGCCTCCCGCGATACCTGGGACTACCTGGCATGCACCCTCGACCTCCACCTGCTGCCATGGCTCTCAACAGAAGAAGCCGCTCCCTTGATACTGCGGAGACCCTAGAGTTGGAACTCTCCAGCTCTCACCTGGCCCAGGGCTATGTGGAGTCTGATGAGCTACAGGCCCAACAGGAAGACTCAGATGAAGAAGATGATGAAGAAGGAGAATGGGGCCGAGACAGTCCTTTGTCTCTCTACACTGAACCCCCAGGGGCCTATGACTGGCCTGCATGGGCTCCCTGTCCGCTTCCAGTGGGACCAGGCCCGTCCTGGATAAGTCCCAGTCAGTTGGATGGGCCTCCCAGCCAATCTCCATATAGGCAGGCAAGCTGTTGTATACCTCCTGTTGCTATGTCAATGTCCCTATCAGGGCCAGGGCCAGAGCCAAGAGTGCCTGGGGAGTCTAGGCCTCCTCTAGCTCGACCTTCACACCTTCCTCTGCCCATGGGCCCTTGCTATAACCTCCAGCCCCAGGCTTCCCAGAGTGTGAGGGCTAGACCTCGAGATGTGCTGCTGCCTGTTGCTCATTGTGCCAATGAGCCCAGTTGCTCCTCCAGTTCTGGAGCCTTCAACCCGAGCCCTCTGCCACAGGCTAAGCCTGTGGGTATTACCCATGGTATTCCTCAGCTGCCCAGGGTCCGACCTGAGCCCCTCCAGCATCAGCCCAGTCACTACAGGGCGTCCAGCCTTGATCTATCAAAGGAGAGGGCTGAGCAAGGTGCCTCTCTCCTGACCAGCTACCCTTCCACTGCCACGAATGGAAACCTAGCCAAGTAATCATTGATTCTGGAGTGGGGTCATGGGGCCTGAGCATGTGAATGGGGATCAGGGGTTGGGCAGAGGGGTGGGGATGAGACTTGCTGTTTAACTTGAAAACTCTTTTGGCCAAGGAAAACTCCTATGAGTTTTCATCTTTGTTTTTCCCCCCTTCCCTCCTCTGCCATCTATGGCCACGTTCAGCTCGAGTATACATCTGCTCCAGGGAGGCTGCTGCTACTCTGCTCTAGTTTTTGCTTTTGGGGTTTCTTGTGATCCATGCAGGGTTTGGGATGCTATTATTTTGTGCCTATTCCAGTTGCCGAGTTAGTGATTTTATGTGTGTGTGTGTGTATGTGTGTGTATATATATATACATATACATATACATTATATATATGTATATGTATGTATACACACACACACACACACACACACACATAATAGCATGCATCCTTAAGACAGGCTGGACCCTTAATGCCCTCTGCTCCCTCTCCCTGGTGAACAGTGAACCACTGATGAGCAACAAACTCTGCTCTGCCTCTCACTTGGGGATGAGAGGCTTGTTTGCTGTTAGCAATGTAACATTATGGTACAGATCCTCCCCATTCCTTTGGCCTTGGCATTGCTGCCTCTGTTACATCAGATGACTATAAGCTATTCATCCAAGCTCGCTGACCTTAGAGAGGATCAAGTAGCATGTCTCACTGCCTATTATTGTGGGCTTTGACATCATAACCAGATAAGGGCCTTTTAACCATGCCTACCATAATTTGAAGAGAAAAAAACCAGTTCCCTTAATGGAGTGATTCATTCTGTTCATTTGCCAGCAGAAGATAAGGCAAAGTTCTATGGTAGACACTGCAATGGAAGTCTTGAGCTCTGGATCTTTTCTTAAGTCTGTGACTGCTTGAGTTGCTGAGAATTTTGGATTTTCAGTTTTTTTTCCTCTAAAGGAAGTTTTCATAATCTCATCATACGGAACATGATCTTTTAATTGACAGAAGGGAAGAGATGCAACCTAACTGGGCTTTGACTATAGGGCTTTGGAGTTTTGTGAAGTACAGGGAAAAGAAACAATATAATCAATAACAAAAAGGTCCATGTATTTTAACCAACAAGAGAAGAGATTTCAAGACTGTGGCTCCTGAAGCAGTCCAGCTTTGTAGAAGGGAAAACTCTCCACTTCTTTCCTCCCAAACCAAAAAAGCTCCATAAGCCTTGCACACCCCTTCATTTGGATGGATGCTGTAACGAGGCTCCAGGCTTGCCCTCTTGAGACTGGATACCAAAAACATCTCAGCTGCTGTTCTGGGCTCTCTAATGAGCTTTCATCTTCCAATTAGCCAAGTCCTTAGCATCATCAAAGGACCAGGCTTCTTGAAAGACTGTGACACGCCCCCACTATGCCCACCTGTAGGACTCCAATTTGCATCGCAGTTGCAGCCTTTTATGAAATGAATAACACGCCCCTTCTGCATCCAGGCAGCTTTCATATTAAAGTAGTTCAGAAATTTTGGTAGGGAAAAGCTTGCTGTCAGGAAAACATTGCAATAGGCTTCTCTTGCCAGGCTCAACCTCTTGGTAATCACCCACAAGAGAGGTTCTTTTTCAATTTCTTTAGTGGAAGTGACACACTAAACATCTTTTTGGCCTGTATGTGTTGACCCAAATATAAATCTTGCCCCTTCTGCCCTTGTCCCCATTACCACCCCCTAACCTCCCTCCATCTTCATGTCTGTTAAGAGAAGAATAGGGCTCTCACCATGAGAGAGAGAGAGAGAGAGAGTGTGTGTGTGTGTGTGTGTGTGTGTGAGTGAGTGAGAGCTTGAAAACAGATGCTCTTAGTCCTCCAAGTCAAGGTGACTTTGTGGGCCAACTGTTTCTTGGCCAGAGGATATGGCCATGCTGGTCTTTGTCACCATTTCTGATTAGGATTGGCCCTGTGCCTTTCCCTGACAAGAGAAGACCTGACTATTGGAGTCTTCACTCGTGGAAATAACATGACTGCATGACTCCAACACCAAAGGCTTTTAAAGAGATTCAGATCAGTTCTTTCGGCTACATTGTGAAGAAAAGCATCTGGTCTGGAGCTTGGAGAATGAAAGAGGGTGAGGCCAGGCCTCCTTACCCCAAGCACAGCATTCCAAGAGAGAAGTGCCCAGATTGCAAACCATCTGGCCTCTTACCAAAGCTGCTCTGGGAGGGTGAGACTGAAATTGGCCTGGATGTTTGGCAAGAAGTAAACACTCACCAAATGCCTTCATAACAGGAGAAAAACCCACCTCTTGCCTCTTCTGTCAAGGCAGCTTGAGCTCCTGTCTGCATGTGGACTGTGCCAGCCACAGCAGGGAGTAGAGCTATCACCAGCCTCCATGGCCTGCTGGAGAAGGCCCACCAGCCTATCTGGGAAAAGCAGGAGGTGATCAAACTAAGAAGGGCTCAGCAATGCCTGCAGAGGCCTGGAGGGTTAGTGAGATGCAGTCTCTGAGGGGAGCTATCGTAGCCCTGACATACTTTACTAGACTCTATGAAAGGTTGTACACCACAGAGTAGTACCTGGGGCTGAGTAATGAGTTCATGACTTGAAGCATGGCCTGTAATTTCTTTCACTGGTCCTGTTGTCCCAGTGATAGAGTCTTTACCACCAAAAGTGGGCCATTGAGATACATGGCTGCAGGTTCTTTTGAAGAGCCAGCAATGAGCAAGTTGAGGCCAACTGCCAGCTGCAGCCTAAAAGAGAAAGGAAGAAAATCCTTCCTGAGGTTGTGGTAAGGACAATACCGAGTGACAGTGGGAAAGCAACCAAGCTCCAGGCCCCTCTTAAACAGGCAAGTATTTGCTTGGTTGGGACCAAATATGCTCAAAATGACTAGAAGTATTGATAGGTCCAATACTCTCTTTAGGCTGTGGTCAGATGAACACTGTGTCTCCATTGAAAAGTCCTACGATAATGATTTTGGTTGTCTTCATGAGATGTGACTTGAGAGGAAGTAGCTGCCCTCATTTTTCTACCCAGTAGGCCTTTGCGGTATCAGCTCTGATCCTGAGAGGTCTCAGATGAGACGGGTCCTTTTGAGGACCAATGAATGTAGATCACAAAGGCCACCCAGCAGGCCTCTCCCAGGCCAGGATGCCAGTTTCTTGGTGCTTTAGAGTCTCCAAGGAAGCCCTGCCTTGGGGTCCTTCTGGCTTTAGCTTGGGTACCAGGCTGCAAGCCTTCCACCATAAGGCTTCAATAGAGCACCAGTCTCCCTCTGTCAGTGCTGTCCAAAGGACCCTGGGTGTGTGCCCTCATCCTGCCAGCAGCTTTCTCACCTGTGCCAGTGCCACTACCACACCTGCTCTTGGCCCCCAGGCTCAGTTACTAGGGGGAGGGGATTTAGCAGGGAGACTTTCAAAGTTTACCCATGTGTATGTTGCATCCAAGTTGTTTTTAATATATATATATATATCAAAAGCCAATTAATCTATTTTTGTATTGTTTGCATTTTATATTCATGGAAAACAATGTTTATCAATGGTTCTTTTCTGATATATTTTATTTGTAAGCGGTGCTGTTTACAGTTTTAAACAAAAAGATGACACAAAAACCGCTGCTGCTTGTGCAGAGAGGCCTGTCATCTCAACTGCCTAGGGCCCTCCCTCTCCCCCCTCCTCTCCCCTCCCTTCTGTGTCACAGTTTTAGTTCCTTCCCCTGATGATAGAGACAGCAGAAGATGTCCAGGTACTGAAGACATGGCATGTGACTCGAGCACATGGAACCTGGTAGACAGCGCATTGTATAGCTTTTTGTTTCTCTGTTGTGCCCTCCTTCCCTGTATGTAGTAGACTTGCAAGTATTCATAGATCTTTTTTTCCCTTTCTTATAATTTTTTTGCTCCTGTTTTGAAACCAGAGTGTCCATGTTGTGCTATTTGTCATATTGAATTTCTCCAAAGGAGCATTTTGGGGACATTCTCCACCTAGTGAAGAGGGCCAGGGGGTTTAAGTACACCTCTGTTCCTCAAGAAGCTGGGGGAGCCAGATGGCAATGATGCTGAAACCATCAACAAATCATCTCTTTGAGGACCTTCTAGGAGCCCAGTGGATTGTGACAGTTGTCTAGAACAGACTTTGGGGAACTCCCTGACCCCCTCTTGCTGCTTTGGGGGAATCTGTCCTCCTACCATTCCCCCTTCCCCCACTCTACTCCAGCTCACATGTGGATGGTACTTTGGGTTACAGTGACTTTCATGGGCATGGCTAGCTGGCCCGATGCCTTATCTTACATCATGTAGTCACTCCAAAGAAGAAAATCCACATGTTATATCTGTGTGAGGGTTGGGTCTATCAAGAAGAGGGGCTTTAATTATTCTTGTTACTATTGGTGCTTATTTTCCCTGCTGTATATGGGGATAGTGTGGGGGTGGGAAACAGGAATGTATATTAGGTCATGTTAAATAAAATGGCTGGGGGAAGGAGGGAAGAAATAACAGCAGTACATCCTCAGCCCAGTTATAAGAATTCTTCCCTTCCCAGAACAGAAAGGGGAATGTGGCCTCTTGCTGTGCCTCAGCTTCCCCTTCTCCATTCCTGAGACATCACGGAATCTGGATTGTGACTCCTCCAATTCTAGCTCTCACTGACATTTAGGTATCTTGATGCACTGCTTGTATGTTATATTTCTTTTGCTGAATGCTAATAAACTTCTGGGTTCAGGAGGGACCCCCCAGTCATTAAAATGCATTCTTGTGGTTTGTTCCACAGCAGCATTCCTGTGATCTGTGTTTGGGAGTTTGCCCTTAAAGGGAAATTGAGAAACCAAGCAGGTGGGAGGGAGCATTCAGAAGGGGAAACAAGCCCAAGCTAAATCTAAATGAAAAAAATTCAGTTCTCCATTCAGGCCATGCCTTGTATTATTCAGTCAGATCCACATCTTCAAACTCTATCAGACCCTAGCTAGCACTTCTGAAGTTAGACTCATATTGGGCTGCCTCCTCTTGCTAGTGGTTTAATCAAAAGCATGTATGTGTTTGGGCG